TAAGCCTCAGCCACCCTGGAATTGACCGGAGCGAAGCTGGGGAGGGGCATGGTGGCCAGGCCCTGGCCCTCGGGGTGCTGGGGGATGACTGGTCCCCCGCCCCCTGGGGAGACGGGACGTCTGTTCCAGGCCAACTAGCCCAAAATCATTATTTCATCTTAGTTTCTTCATAAAAATTTCCCCTAGCCCACTTCTTTTGTTTTTCACCCTGCGCACCCCCGATAGCCACGGCCGCCTTCGTGCTGTGGGGTCACGGCTGGCCCGGCCTGAGGTGGCTGGCGCCCTCGAAGTTGGCGTGGGCGTGAGTGAAGCGACGAGGGGAGGACAGAGACTCAGAGCAAGGGGAGGGCTTTTTTCTCCCAGTAGTCGACACTCCCCTCTGCGTGCAGGGAGGTGCGGGCGAGGGCACCGGTCAGGCTGGAGTCCCCCGCCCCGGCCTGCCGCCGGATCACAGCGCGACAGCTCGCGCCCACGCTGGCTCAGGCCTCTGCTAGAGACGGAGTTCTCTCCCCAACCCCGAGTTCTGTTTTGCTTTTTTGTTTATTTTTTTCTTAAGTGCTACTAATGTAGAGAATGAATTGAATTGTGCAATGTTGCTGTTCGGGGGACCGGGGAGAGTAGCATCCCGTTTGCCCACACCCTGGCTGTCTCGAGGCGGCAGGGCTTTCTGCTCCCCTCGCGGTGTGCGCCCACCTGCCTCGCCAGCTCTGGAAGCTGCCAGTGCCAGGAAGGGGTGCTCTCAGCAGACAGGTGTGCAGAGGAGTTGAACATTTTGACCTTGAAAGCCACCTGGGGAATTCCCCCCGCTTTTATTTTTTAAAATTAAATAACTTTTTTAAAGTAAGGCACTTTTAAAATTCACACACACACACACACACACACACACACATGCGCGCGCGCACACACACACACACACACACACACTCTGCACATCTCCATGAAGTGGTTGGGTGGGATGGGGGAAGGAGCTGGATCAGGCTCAGTTCTCCTCACTCCCAGCTCCTCCCCGAACTCCCAGGCCACTGTGGGTGATTATACTGGCCCTACGGGCCTTCCTGGCTTCTGTTGTTTCTCCCTCCCCGCCGATTTCATTGAGCACTTATAAAGGAGCAGAGATGCGGCCTGTGTCGGGCTCCCCCAGTGGCGAAATGGTCTGGAAGCTAGACACTAGGAACAGGTAGCGATGGGGTCGTTTTGAGTATTTTTCTGGGGACTGTGGTGCCCCTGACTGTAAGCGGTGGGAGAGGGAGGGGGGTCAATGGAACTGGGTGTGGGATTATTTTAAAATTATATATATATATATAAAGATATATTCTTACATCTTTTCTTTG